CCCCCCCCCTCTTTTAAGCCAAAAAACCCCCATTGGAGCCCATTTGTCCCACAAAAAGTATATCTTCTCCGTATTGTAGCAAGCTAACACCGAATTTAAGTGATTATCGCGTAGTAGATTGCTCGTTTCGGCCCCCAAATCATCAAATCTTCACTTTTCAAAATTTTTTAAATCGAGGTATTCCGTCTTACTTTTTGGTAAAACTCATGTATAAAAAATAAGTATTAGTTATTTTTTACTGTGGTCTGTGTTTTTTTGTGATTGTTTTATAATTTAATTAATTTATTATTTTTTATCCGGAATAGATTATTTATGTGCTAAAAAATTAGTAAAATAGATAAATTATTATTTTATGAATAATTAATGTTATTAGTTGTTATAAAGAATGTTTATTAGTTATTTTTTACTGTGGTCTACGTTTTTTCGTGATTGTTTTGTGATTTAATTAATTTATTATTTTTTATGCGGATTAGATTATTTATGTGCTTAAAAATTAGTAAAATAGATAAATTATTATTTTATGAAAAAATAATGTTATTTGGATTTTATTGTTGTACGTATATTAATATGTGACTTTATTGTTGTTTGGTGTCCTTTTGTGTTATGTTGTGCCCGTAATTGTAATGTAGTGTCCTTTAGCATAGTAAAACTGATAATAAATTTTAGCTAATGGTAGTTGACTTTGTTCATAGCCTTTTTGAGTAGTACTTTAGTGAAAAATGTGAGAAACTAACATATGAAATATTAATATAGAAAATTTATCAACCTAAGTATCTTTGTAGTTATTAAAATTAATCATTTAATTATATGTTAACCCCAAAAATATCTGAAATAAAGATGATAGTTCAAACACAAACTCCCTCGAATTTTAGTCAACAAATGTAAGAAAATAACATAAAAAACAATAATATTTGTCAAACTAAGTATTTTTATATGAATACTTATTAATTATATCATGTATAGTTATAAAAATTAATTATCTAATTCTATTATACCCAAAAATAGATGAGTAAGAAATAAACATATAAAATAATAAACTAACATATAAAATAATAAACTAACATATAAAATAAGAAACAAACATATAATGTAATAAACTAACATATAAAATAATAAACTAACATATAAAATAATAAACTAACATATAAAATAAGAAACAAACATATAATGTAATAAACTAACATATAAAATAATAAACTAATATATAAAATAATGTAATAAACTAACATATAAAATAATAAACTAATAAACTAACATATAAAATAATAATATAGAAAATGTATCAACCTGGGTAATAATATATTAAAAATATCGATTAAATATTAATATAAAAGATATTGCAATATGTTTAAAGATGTTAAGCAATCAAAAAGAAAAATATTTTAATTAATATTGTTCAATTTACAGACATCGAGGTTCCCCTGTGCATCCCGAACCTTCATCTCGAGAGGTACTGTTGCTACAGGGCAACCATAGGTCTTCATACATCTGGGATGTGGGAGTTCATTAGGGACTACCCATTCCATCCCTGTATAGTTAGACGCCTTCAGGATACGGGTTTCTACATGATCATAGAGATCGGCCGGTTGCAGTTCGACTGGGCATTGATCACAGCTATGATAGAGCGGTGGCGATCAGAGACGCACACGTTTCACCTACCCATCGGGGAGGATACCATCACGCTTGAGGACGTGGAGGTTATTTTCGGGCTGTCTGTCGATGGATTACCTGTGGCTTACCCGCTTGCTCTTAGAGACTATATGGGAGTGCATTACCTGCATATGTTGCAGCGACTCACTAGTTTCCAACCAACGGAGCCGACTGTATTGAGTGAGGCTGTCGTTTGCAGCTGACGCTCGTCCGACAGCATCTGGCGGCAATTGATGCGGAGATTACGGATGATTCACCGCCGGAGGATATAGATCGGCACACGAGATTGTTGTTGCTGCTTATGTTTGGTGGTGTACTGTTCCCGAACACTTCGGAAAACCTAGTGAGCTTGAGATTTCTACATCATCTAGAGCGGCTAGATGATTTACCTAGTTACAGCTGGGGTGCAGCTGTTCTAGGTTACCTGTATAGGCAGATGTGTCGGGCGTGCATGGGCTCCTAGAGAGACGTTCCCGGATTTTTACAGCTGTTGCAGGTGAAAACATAGTTAATTCTTTTCATGATTATAACATACATAGTAAAAAAATACCTTAAATTTTACGTCCACAATCTATATTAGGTTTGGGCCCGGGAGCGGTTCCTGCAGTTCCAGCCACCTCTACCACCGATCGCTCCGGATGCACCACCTCCACCGTTTCTCCCTTTAGCTTGGAGGTGGGTTGATAGGCGAGGCTACGGACGCGAGGTCGAGGCTCGACATCATCTCCACTATTACAGGGATTTGTTTGGATTTGCTTGAAGGCACGCAGGTACATATATACTTAAGTTTACTTGGCCTGACTTTATATGTGTTGCGTTTACTCACGATTCTTGTGTTTAATAAATAGTTCGTATGTGTCCGTTGGTTCATAACTTGTAAAATTTATATCTGATCGGTACCCCCTGTAGAATATATGAGTGTTAATACACATTCAATACATAAAAATAAATACCGTAACACAAAGAAAAATTAAAGTTTACCATTCAGCTCGTGGATTATGTAAATTTGGGGAGAAATTATGTTCTCGCTCCGCATTCTCCTGTGGAGATAAGTTTAGATCTGGTCAAAATCTTTTATCCGGAAGTGCAACTTAACATGACACTGTGGAGAAAAACTATAGCGTACTGAGTTATTCTCCACTACAATCTCACCCCCTAATATAATGAAACCTTAATTTTTTCGCTCTTCGGACATTATGACAAAATGCAAAATAACTAAACGAAAAAATATTTTGGAAGACCTGAAGGATCCAGAATGAATTTTTACCTAATTCTGAAACTCCTTAAATAAGAAAAAAATTAGTCTGGGGGGTACAATAATTGAAGTATAGCGCATGCATGGTATGTGCTATATATTTAGCGCATACATAATAGGCGCTATACCCATATGAATTATTGGTGGTCAGTTAAGTGCGGAAAAATTATTGGCGGGACGGGATATTTTATATATAGCGCGGTTATTCACTGCGCTATACCTCAGCAGACAAATGTGTCGTTAAGGTATAGCGCGGTGAATAACCGCGCTATATATAAAATGGTACACAATTTATTTTTTTACCTATTTGTGTCGTTTGAGTCCAAAATAATCACACTTTGGTTTCAGACTCCCATTAAAATGACATGAGACTCGCACATGTAATTTTCAAGCGTTCGGCTGTACCGGTTGTACACTTTAAACACGTCTAAAGCCCAATGCTCGGGCTCATCCAACAAATCTTACATAAATCATGTGTTAAATTTGCTAATTAGCACAGTAGACCCTCAAAATTCTTTAACAAATAAAAAATTAAAGTTCATCTATAAGATTGAGAGTAACTCAAATAACAAGTTATAATATTGCATATTTACTTACTGAGAATATCGTGAGGGGTAAATATATATTGAATAGTCATCTAAAATAGATAGCCAAACTTTATGTCTTCACTTGCTACTGGCCTTCATATCTTAGTTCTATGTCTCTCAAAATTATTAAACTTTTATTATTTTGTTATCAGAAAGTAAATTTGTATTTAGAGTAGTATTTTAGATTACAGAACTAGTGAAGTTTATTTATTATTAACTTTTAGGAAGGCAAAACATATAGTTTAATAATATTTATGGAGAAATTATAATTTTCTTATTATATAAAAGTAAAGACATTATAGTTGATTTGTATTTCGTAGTAATATTAACATTATCGATTGTTTATGCTGGATACAAACATGCTAGATATTTTATTTTCTATGAATTTTTTAATCATTTGTAATTTTCTTAAACTTTTAATGTGTTGTCTATACTTTTTTTTTGTTATTATATTATTTAATTAATTTATAAATTAAAAAATTTAATGATCTATGGGGCTTACGCTTCACCTCGTAATAGGTAAAACGCCCCTTCTTATGCCCCACTTTTTAAAACACTGCTCTTCTCTTCGGCTTATTTTGCTTGGTAGATTAAAAAAAATTAAATGATTTTTTAAAATCCTTTAATATAAGTTATCTGGCTTAAATCTGTTATAAGAAAAATCATTTCCTTAATTGCAAATGTTTTTCATATTTGTGTAGTCTGCTCCTTCCAGATTTGCTGCTTTTAAACTATTATTCTTTTAAAAATTCGCACAAACCCAAAGGAACTAATGTGCTGCTTTACTTTTTCATGCAAAAATAATGTTGAAATTTAAGTTCCATCACTAAAAAGAAAATACTCTTTTTTTGGTTAAAAAAGAAAGTACTCTTTCAAAACATGAAAAGAAAGTATTCATTTTGGAGTGGGGGTAGTAGGATGGAGAAAGTTGAAAAAGAGTTTTGGAAAATATTTTTTCTTCTCTTGATAGGAAAAATATTTTTATTCAATTGGAGGAAAATAAGTTCTTGAGGAAAAAAATATTTTCCAAAATATTTAAGCCAACTAAACATGAAAAAATTGAAAAATATTTCCTGAAAAATATTTTCCTTCGTACCAAACACACCTTTAATAATGAAATACTAATATTGTTCTCTCTTCTTTGAATATGTATGCTACTAGATTGAATGAGACTTTTTCCAATATTTATTTGCTTTTCTCCTCTATTTCCTGCTTGATAACAGTTGTAAAATAATATTTCGACATAATTTTTCTTGGATGAGTTAAGACAATACGTCCAACATGTTAAAAAAAAAAAGTTGGATAATATTATCTGATTATTTAATGGAGGGTGGACAGCTTCAAAAATCAAACGCCAAAATGATCAATTCAATACAAATCCCAAATACATTTGCTGTAATTGAAGCCACAGGCAAACTTATTAGTGAGTCCAAATTAACTTAAATTTAATTACTTAAGATTATAGTAGTTTATACTTTTTCTTACGCACACAGAAAGGGCCTACATGATATTTATTTGTTCCATTTTGTTCCTCATGCAATTTGTGTGTAACAATTGCTTGAAGCTTTGTTAGAGATTCTTGTATTAAAAAATTACTTATTAATTAAGGTGGTCATTTTTGAGATGATAACTATTGCTTGCAATGATGTAAGACAACTATGAATTAATTAAGAACGTAAACAAAGATCTTTAGACTTCAAGAAATTTTCATAATGATCAATTATGAAAATTTGACAACCAGTTACTCACCCCCTCCCCTTTCTGCCTTTTATTATTATTGAATAAAGACCACGGCTTGAACACTTAGAAATTTCGAATTTGTGACTTGAAAATGTAACTTTTAAGCTTAAGACTTGTGGTGTAAGCTAGAATTTATAATGAGTTATTATCATAGTTAATTCCAAATTGGTCTTGTGATTGACAAAATTGGATGGATAATGCAATGTAATTATGTAACTTTTCAAAATATTATGGACTATACATGATATGTATATGAATTTTGGACGAATTTGATTATTAATATTGTTGGACGAGTTAATAAATAGTGATAATTATTTATAAATTTTGTCTCTTTCGATTGTTGGAGAATTGAATCCATAGTAGAAAATTTCATACTTAAGCTTTTACAAATCATACTCATGTGATAACCTACTCTATAGTTTAATAATTTGACATGGAAATTGCATGTTTCTAAATAGAGATTGTATAGAAATGATTTACCAAACAAATGATCATTTAGATTTTAGATGGATAGATCGATTTTATTTTTTCGAACTTACCGTGTTGTGCCAAGTGTTTGCTTTAAGCGATGTATCAAATATTTGACTTGTTGTATATTTTATTACTTCAAATTGATATACTTAAATTTAGGCGAAATTAAAAAATAGTCAAATTTATAAGTGGTAATTGAAAATAGTCACAGTTTCAAAAGTAATCGAAATTTAGCCACTTTTCATGTAAAGATAAATCTGAACGAAAACACTATTCAAAATCCGGAAAATATTCCAACATAACATACTAAAGTTCGAATTTTTTTACATGTGAACTTGCAACATAATATACTGGTCCAGCATAATATCCTGAAAGTTCATACATAGGTGCTCCAATCTCCAGTATATTATGCTGAAACTTTCTGTGTTGCAGCAAAATAGTGGCTATTTTTTAATGACTTTGCAAACGCTGACTATTTTTCAATTACCAGTCCGAAAACTGGCTAGCCCGTGCTATTTTCACCTTAAACTTAGTACCGAATTTTTAAAACTTAAGGTGAAATTTAATTTATTTTGTGCAATCATTAGATTCGTTAAGATGGTAAAACATAAAATCACAAGTAATATATATAAGGCCCAAAAATAATATTAGAAGTTGATTTCCTTTCAATTTCGATTTTTCTGTTTTTTTTCTTCTTGTAGACATGATAAAATCAACAAAATATAAAGAAATAAAAAGGACACAACTTTGTAAAGTTCAGAGAGTACTTGAGAAGATCTTTGTGATAACTTGTAATAAGAGGATTAATCAACCACAGTCCACACATTTTTGGTGAACTTTTCAATCTTGGTGACTAATTTGGTACATGTGAAAATGACTTTGTATTTTGTAATTTTATGTAAATATTATCATAATTCTTATTTAATTACAATTATGAGCCTTTTGGCATCGTATGTATCTTAATCTTTTATTTAAAAAGTCCTGTTATTAGTCATATTCATGTATGTGACAAGCATTTTAAAACAATATTTGGTTAAAATTGAAAAATAAAGTAATTGAAGTTGAAAGTGGGGGAAAATATGTAAAAGTCTGTATATATGTATGTTATATACGCGTATATATTATCATCCTACAGTATCAAGTGCTAGTATAAGCCCACAAAATATCAATTTTATTAGTTAATTTTCTTTTAAAATTTTAATTGGTCAAATCATTATCTTAAATAAGATATAAGATAGATAAACCCAAAAATAAAACATGAAAAGATACAAACAAAAACATGAATTTAAATAGTATTCAAATCATTATAATAACTGTAGTAGAAGAAGGACCACACATTCTATGTTGAACTTTTCCATCTTGGTGTCTAATTATTTGGTCAAGAATGCTTAGTGTACATATGAAAATGAC